GCTGGCCATACATGCCACCCTTACCAGCGTAGGGACCATACTGGCTACCATAGCCATATTGCTGGTTGTGCTGCTGCTGCTGCATGTAGTGATCCTCATAGCGGCGAGCATCATCGTACCTGGGGCGGTTACCGCCACCGTACTGCTGCTGTTGCTGCTGCTGGCCCATCTGGTTCATGTAAGAAGCGTAGTGCGGGTTGCTGTAGTAGTTAGGGTATTGGTAGCCATACGCGTGCTGCTGCGCACTTTGGCCAGGCATATGCTGAGCAGCGGGGGTCTGCTGAGTGACGCCAGGGATGGTGGGGTTGGGAGTGTTGTGACCGCTGTTGGTGGCGTCAACGGGGCCGTAGCGGTTGGGAGGCTGCGTGGTAGGAATCTGAGCCTGAGCCTCAGCACCAGAGACGCCAAACCCAGCTCCGGCGCGGGGACCGGTGGGGGCATCCTGGGACTGGCCGTAAGAGCCATAGGAGGCGTAGTAGGGGAAACGCTGCTGGTCGGCAGCGTAGAAAGGAGAGTACTCGCTGCCAGTGGTGGCAGTGGGCTGAGCAGGGGCCTGGTTGGCAAATGGCTCTGGGATCTGCGGCTGCGGCTGGCTCACCTGTTGGGTGAAGGGATCGAATGGCTTCTGCTGGGGCTCAGAGTAACGAGCGAAGTCGGTAAAAGAGTCGGCTGAAGCGCCTTGGGGCACTGGAGGCAAACCAGGAGCAGGACGGCCAGCGGCACCAGACTCCATCGAGTGTGGTGCCTGGGTCGCGGGTGGAAGAGAGGCGCGGGGGGCAACGGGGGAGTGCTGGGGGGGTTGAGCGCGGGTCTCGGCCTCTTCGCGGTTCTCATCAATATCGATTGCGTCACCGTTCAGTCCCATGCTACCGAACTGAACGGCAGCACGGTCCACTGCGTGGTTGCCGGGCATAACCACAGCCTGCTGCTGTTCCATCACACGGCGTTGAAGGCCTGGGGTACGGCCCTGCTTAGTAGCGCTGGTGGGGTAGGCAGACGAGGGGAAGCGGGAGGGAGTAGCAGTAGCTGCGGCGACAGCCGCGGGGTCCATACCGCTGCCAATAGTGCTTGCGGCGGTGGCGGTGGGAGCAGGAGCGGATACATCGGGCACTTGTTCGAGGTTCGTCTCAGTCAAATCGCCCTTAGGAGGGTTAACAGCGGCGGTCGGAATGGCAGGGATAACGGGATGGGTGGGCTTGGCGACGGGTGTCTTCTGGGAGGCAGCGGGCGCAGTCACAGGTCCAGGAGCGGGAGCAGGGGCGGGGGGAGATGGCTCCGCGACAGGCTCGGCGGGCTTCTCGGCGACAGGAACAGGGGGAGCGGCTTGGGGCTTCTTTTGCACCGGAGGAGCGGGTGGTTTGGCGAAAAGACTCGCCCACCCCTTCTTTGTGCCCTCAGGAATCACACTGCTCTTGGGCTCGGTCGACTCCCATTCGCCTTCGGCTGTATGGTCTCCAACTGTCTCCTCTGCCTTGGGCGCAGCCCACTCGGATGTGATGGCAGGAATAGCAGTAGGCGCCGGAGTCTCTACAGCAGTGGACACTGCCCGAGTTCCATTTGTAGCCGCACCCGCACGGCCTCCGCGACCGCCACGGCCACGGTCTGCGCGAACACGTCCACGACCTTCTATTCCACCGCGACCACGGGTTCCACGAGCGGGAGGTGCAGTCGTCTCGGTCGAGGCACTCGGGGTCTCCTTGGGCTTAGGGCGAGTCCGGTCTGTGGTCTTCTTCTTGACCTCACCCCACTGAGATACATTACCTGCAAAGCCGGTCAGTCAAGGTCCTCGAATCACAAGTTTCGATTGATTTCGAGCGGGAATATTGGGGTTGACGGGAACTCGACCTTCACTAATGCGCTCAATTGCCTCCAAGAGCTCGCCGTTCGAGTCTTCCAGTGCGAACACCAGATCTTCGTCCTTCCAGTCTGGGAACATTTCCTTAAGAGTTGGGAGAGTGTCGGAGTACTTCTTCTTCATCTGTCCAATTTCGCCCTCTTCAAAGGATGAGACGTCTGAGTTGTCATTTGCAGATCTGTTTCCACCACGACCACCTCTGGAGCTGAAACCGCCACGGCCACCACGGGCGGATACTCTACCCCGCGAGGCGGAGGACCGGTTCTGAATATCGGACATGTTGATTGATGAAGATGTGTGAGATGAAGTATTGAAGGAGGAAGGAGGTCACGATTCGCAAGGAAAGGCTATTGAAATGGAGCACCCTCGCAGAAGAGGAACAGCACCAGAACCACAGGCACAGGGGCCAGAAGAGACGAAAGAAAGAGGTAAAAACAAAGAGATTAATTGGGGGGAGAGGGAGAATGCGTTAGGAGATGACAAGATTGAAGAAAGGATCAAAAGCTAACGAGATCTGAGTTGCTTCCCTTCAAGTCTTGGCGTTGCCTGGCTTTTAGCGAGTGGCGCTTATTGGATGCTGGGGATTTACAGTAACAAAGGGATCTTTACTTTTCTTTACATACTTTTAAAGGAATTTGATGTAGTATAACGATATTAGACTTAAATTTATAGATATACATATTTAGTTATAGTCTACCAATTGAATGGAAATAATTTTTGTAAAATTGTAAATTGTTTCTCAGTGCGCTTTAGTTTCTTCTACTCGTCATTCACCTTTTTCCGCCCTTTTGGAAGGGAGAAGGCCTGTTTCACCGCCCTCGTCGATCTTCCCTCTTTACCTTGATGCATCAACATATTGAGATTGAAACTCCTCACCGACCATCATGAAGGGTACATCCATTTTTCAGTTCAAGTCCTGGCCCAAAATCCATCAACCCTTGCCACGTACTCCACGAGAGTCGCAGCAACTGTTAAATGCACTCACGTCTTCCTTTCGTCGCCAACTAGATGGGGCTTATCCCGCATCAGGCAACAACCATGGCCGACCCATCTCCAACCCTGAATCATCCGCGCATGCAACCGATCAGCATTTGCAGAACATCCTCGATAATCCTCTTTTCCGTATCGTTCCGACCAGAACCATCTCACAAGAACCCACCCCATTGCAAAGCATCGAGGGCCAGCGACGACTAGCCGAGGAACCCATGGCAGTATTTGATCAAATGGCTGCAGCTGGCTCAGTCACTACTCTCACAGTCAATGATTGTCTGAAGTCTCAACTTCTCCTTTCCAGAACCCCCGCCGATATGAGTACATCTCGGGTGGCATCGAGAATCATTGATTGGTATTGGGCATCAGATGGCACATCGAGACAAATGCTTCTGCGTTTGCGGTCAGTTACTACATCGTTGACCAAGTTCATAGTGGCAGAGGGATTGCATGGTACTGTCATGAAGTGGTTGCAAATGCTCATGAGCCATGACCTAGGTAGTCAGAATGGCCGGATGACTGAAGGGCTCGCGCGGCAGACCTTCAATCACCTCCTTGTTGATTTTATAGATGCAGAAGCCTGCTTCGGAAATGGCTTTGGCTCAGCGATGGCATATTATCTGAGTGTATGCCAGATGCATTTCCAAAGTGCTTCTTCCCATAAGTCAAGGAAACCGATGCTCCTAGCTGCTGGCGCTCACCTGAGCCGTATGGCCATGGAGCACAAATCATCGGGTGAGCAGGTATCGACATTAGTGTATGATCAGTTCAGGGATACGGTTTCTGTGCTATCTCCTCGGTCCTTATTGGTAGCATCTGTGGCTGTCTGTCACCCAACAAATCCTGATCCACGCCCATTCCTCCAATTCGTGGAGAAACTCTCACCAAGCAAATTCCAGGCTTGGAATGAAACTAGGCGTGATGCTTTCTTCGAGATTGGTTCTGAGGCTCTTCGTGTCCTGGTTGACCGGAAGAGGTTCCGTGATATCTCCCGGCTGGAACAACATATTTCAGAACTGCTACCGGAACAGCCAGCAGCTCCAGTCGCTGAGAACTCACATACATCGTCTGAAGAGGAACATCTCGGTCGTTTGAACTGGAGCTTTACGTGATCTTCTGGTCTCAAGCTATTGAACAATCACTCTACTCTCGCACATAGCTGGGGTGTCTGAAGAGCATCCAACAACACCAACACTCCAGAGGCACACCCATTTGTCTGTCTTTCGACCATAAAATACGATCACTGGCAGGACTACTGCAGTTATGTCAGCACACTGCTAGAATACGATTCCGCTCCCCATTCATTTGTGTACTATCACACAATTGGAATCATTTCAGCCTGTTCGACAAGCCTCATTTTCCGAATCACCACACAAAGGAAATCCACTGCCGCTACTCCACTCCGAGTTAGAGCCTCATCTTCTTGGTGGTCGCACGTACATTGCTTGTCAAAATTATGGGGTATTTGGGTCGCCCGAAGACTTGGCTAGACCGGGGGAGGAAGTTATGGCTGAACGTGTCATTGCGAAGGCACGAGCAGCCGCGCGCAAGAGACGCTCAGCCATTTCCTGGCATTATTGGAGGTGTGTGATGCACCTGAATACTTTCAATTATCCTCAAGCTTGTCTCTTCGTTGTACCAAATATACGACAGCCCTCCTTTTTCGGATATATATGTATAACTCATGTCAATAGTGGCTCAGCCAATTTCCTAAACAAGCCGTTTAGGCTCAATGAAGAGCATAACCTAAAACATCTTGTACTCGATCTCTTAACTGATAAGATTTACAGCCTTTGTGATCGACTACTACACCTTGAACAGACCTGTGCTGCTCGCAGCTGCCTCTTGTGGAGAATGTTGCGTGGCAATTGTAACTCTGGAGCAGTTGAGGCTGTGTGACAGAACGCCGTGGAGAGTTAGAGGGCTGGAGCGGCGAATCAGCCGGTGGTAGCGTCTCCAGTGCTCTCAAGTACGTCACCGCGCGACCTCACTTCACGCTCCCCCCAAATTAACCGACTCCTCTTTGCTTATTTTTTCCCTCGTACAAACCTATACGAGCGAGAATTGCAATCGCATTGCTTTTGCGAATACCATCCCACTCAATCTTTGCCAATTTACAACACACTGTCCCTGCGTCTGACATCATCGATCCACAATGGCTACTGAAGGAGCCCCCGAGCAGAGCAACGCAGCTTCAGGTATGTAATTTGGTCTTAGTGGCCAAATTATTTTATTTTGTCCAAAAATGGTTGCAGGACGGTGTTTCTTTGCTTGACCCCGTCTGTCTGTAAAATGCCCAGGTGCACGCCAGATGCTGACTAAGGGATATAGCAGATCAGGACACTGCCCAGCTAGTCAAAGAACACTCGCATGCATTCCAGAATAGATTGAACACGACTCAAACGGATAGCCCGCCTATTCCCGAAGCGGAAAAGTCCGATATAGACACCAACCAGCTGAAGGGGGAGGCAGGACTTGAGGCACCTAAGTCCGATATAGACAATGACCAGCCCAAGCCCGCTCCAGAAGCCAAGCCGCATGTGACAGAGCCCGCGGGATCTACTCTCGGCAGTATTCCTGTTGCCCGCAAGTCGCAAATTCCAGTAGGGCCCAAAGGTGAAGTAGTGGCGGGCGAGAAGCGTGACATCGATTCAACTGAGACGCCCGCTCAGGCCCAAGCTGAGGATGAGCAACGAAAGCCTGAACCATCGGATGAGCCTGGTACGAAGAAGCTGAAGACAGACGACAAGCCTGTCACAGATTCCAATGGCACCGCCGCTGCTCCCTCCAAAACAGAGAACGGAGGACAGAAGAAGGCTGCTCGGTCCAAGAAGGAGAAGATCAAGGATGTGGTGAACAAGGTCATACCAGGAGGTGGCATTGGGAGCCGGACTCGCAGTCGGACCAAGGGTGCTTGAATAGACCGAGGTCACTATATTTGCAGGTTTGCTATCCTAGTTCCATGTCATCATATTTGCTCCAACTTTGACTCTTGTCTATTCATGTCTGGAACTTCTCATGGTTGTGGCTGTACATGCGCTGCAATAAGAAGAATATCCATTTCCTGACCCAAACTTGGGCGGGAAATACTTGAAATAAAACAAAAGTTCAAGTTCCATAACATATATTCATAATTATGATGGTTTAAGAAAAGAAACTGTTTGTACTCCGTACTAGTATGTGGTAGACATCTGCGCTGCCCTATAACTTCCGATTGATACGACCTACGTATGTCAAAGTTCTTATCCACGGATAGACCGACGACTGAGATTTGACTTCCAAGGTTTCAGGTGGCCGATAATCGGGACTGAGTCATTTCTCGGAGCGGAATAACCATTTCCATCCCCGCTTATCACTGGAGGGGAAAGTCTGTGACATTATTGGTGAGCAATTAATATTTGTTTGATTCCTTTTCTTCATCATATTCTAATTCTCTACTTTCAAAATGGCTGGACAAAAAATTTGGTTGCGGGCTGAGACCAAGCCCGCTGAAGCGCGGTCTGCCTGTGAGTAGCTTCAGCCCATCTAGTTACAATGGCGGGGAAGCAATTGACTAATACACCATCTAGTGACTCCAACTACCTGCAAGGCATTGATTGATGCTGGATATGATGTGACTGTTGAGCGGTCGACCCAGCGCATCTTTGACGGTATGTCCAATTTCCCATATCCCCCATACTCACCCCATCCCTTGCTGTTGGACTCGATGACTAATTCCGCTCTATAGATGAGGAATTCTCCAAGGTATGATCCACTCGGTAATATAGATCGAACCCGCCCTAAAAATCATCATTTGTTACAGGTCGGCGCGCCTTTGGTCGAAGAGGGATCCTGGGTTCAGGATGCGCCTAAGGATGCTGTCATTCTGGGTCTCAAGGAGCTGCCGGAGGATGACTTCCCCCTGGAGCACGTCCACGTCACTTTCGCGCACTGCTTCAAGCAGCAGGGCGGCTGGGAGAATGTCCTTAGCCGTTGGTCTCGCGGCAAGGGCACATTGCTTGACCTAGAATTCTTGACTGATGATTCCGGACGCCGAGTTGCCGGTAAGACTCATATCGCAATGTTCTTGTTTTGACTCAATTGACTGACTTCAATTGTTCCCTAGCCTTCGGATGGTCCGCCGGTTACGCAGGTATTTATACATGAAGCTCTTTGCCTACGAAATCAATACTAAGACGTGGAACAGGATCTGCTTTGGCAGTGAAGAACTGGGCTTGGCAATTGACACACCCCAACGAGACCTTGCCTGGTGAGGTTCCCTATGCCAACCAAGACCGTCTGGTTGAGTCTGTTAAGGAGTCGCTCGAGGCTGGCAAGAAGGTCGCTGGCAAAGCACCTAAGATCCTTGTCATTGGAGCTGTGAGTCTTGCGCAGATCCACGGAAAGCGATATAAATATTAACAATAATATAGCTAGGACGCTGTGGCAGCGGCGCGGTACAGCTGGCGAAGGATGTTGGTATTCCCGAGTCCAACATCATTCAGTGGGACATGGCAGAGACTGCGCGAGGTGAGTCAATCACTACCTCCAACCTCTTCAGTCTAATCTAAGCTCATAAATTAACATCTACAGGTGGTCCTTTCAAGGAAATCTCACATGAAGCGGATATCTTCGTGAACTGCATCTACCTCTCGGCTAAGATTCCACGTAATTTTATTCCTTCATACTCTCATCTCGACTCAATTGGCTGATATTCTCTTTTTGCATTAGCCTTCGTGAACGTGGAGTCTCTCTCTGCCCCCAACCGAACCCTGTCTGTTATCTGCGACGTCAGCGCGGACACGTGAGTTATTAGATATCACCTATGCTAGCGAGCGCACAGCTAATTCTCAGAAGCTCCAACCCTTTGAACCCCATTCCTTTGTACGACATTACGACCACTTTTGATAAGCCGACAGTTCCCGTCTCTGGGCTGGAGGCTGGAGGCATCCCTCTCAGTGTGATCAGCATTGATCACCTCCCGTCTCTCCTTCCCCGTGAAAGCTCTGAGATGTTCAGCGAGGCTCTCCTGCCTAGCCTTCTTACGCTTAATGACCGGGCCAACGCTCGGGTCTGGAAGCAGGCTGAGCAGCTCTTCGATGAGAAGGTGGCTACCCTGCCTAAGTCGCTTCAGGCCTAAGCCTCTTGCGCTGGTAGGCGGCTATGCGGGGGATAAATTTACACGCTTAGGTGCATTCGATAGAAATAGTTCCAGATAAGGAATGGTACAAAAGTTACAAGCTCAGACATATGACAGATGTTGAAGATATCCAGATATCCGTGGTACATGTATTATAGATCGTTCCATGTTTCCTACTAGAACAGCCGTAGAAGCCCTGCAGTAACTGCAGTATCTCTATCAGTGTGACAAGCTAGTCAGATCAAACGGTGCTGTTTGAAATACTTATCTTGGAGATTTTTGGCCAATAGTTCCATTCGTTTTCAACTGAATCGTCTTTTCATTTTGACGCAGATGACTTGTCTGAAACTTTATATTGCTTTTGAGAGGCCTAAGCCCATATTTCTGATAAATAGATATTCTGGCATCCATGACGTTCCTGACATTCCAAAACTTGTCCTCCAGGCAAGACATGGCTCGCTTACCCCAGACTACATGGAACCGCGGCAACCTCCTTATATGCGGCCCCGGGAAAATGTGTAAGACGGATATCCGGAGAATCCGTCCGCGGGGTCCTAACCCACTACACCGGCGGGCTAAAAGGAATGCTTCATTGGATAAAATGAGAGTCTCACGCGAAAACGAAGACAGGAATGTGCTAATGCCCTTCGCCTTTGAGCCGGGAGGATCGTGGAGTTTGCCCCGTTGGACTGTGGCTAATTGATTTCGGGCTCCGGACGAAAATGCTCATTGTTTCTTTCTCCGCATAAACCACATAACGCTCCACTCTCACCCTTCTCCCCTCTTCCCCGAACTTATTCGATTCTGCACTCAAAATTGATCTGTCAGCTTTTCAACCTTGCAATTCTCTCATCCACATTGGTCTTCTCTTGTGATCGCTCTCTTAGGACGTTCTGCGCCCTTCCCTACATCCGGGCTAATCCGAGGATGGATTAATGAGATAGAAGTCTGCCTGCTTCGACACCTACACGAACCGCCGAACCTCCCTTCTCCATAACACATCGCTTGATGCAAGAAAAGCCAACAACGGTCGCCGCCTATGCGGCCGGGGCCTCGCTAGCTGCCGTTGCTCTGTTCTATGTCTTCGGGCCGAACTACACAATCGACGGAGATGAGTCAAACGACAGCAATCGCAAGAAGAGTATCGTCGGCCTGTCCAACCTGGCCAATGACTGCTTTATCAATTCGGTGCTGCAGGCATTAGCCGGGCTGGGGGATCTGCGGGTCTACCTGATCCACGAGCTGCACCGGCGCGAGTTGGATGGACCGGAAATATACCATACATTGCCGAGCGAGGAGGAACTTTCGCCGGCGCGATCGGACAAGTTGCGGGAGTTGCAACAAGGAATAACCACACGGGCATTGAAGGAGATGTTGGACCGCTTGAACGAGCGACCGATCTATAAGAAAACAATCTCGGCTCGTGACTTCATCCAGGCCCTGGAATACGCGTTCCGCACGCGCATCAGCCGCAATCAGCAGGACGCGCAGGAATTCTTGCAGATTGTCCTCGAGCGACTTTGTGACGAGTACCATGCTGGTGCACGCGCGCGTCAACGAGCTCTGGGTGCCATTGATGCAGCTGCTTCCAGCACGGCGGGCGAAGAGGGCAGCGCACAAGAAAGCTCGTCCGAGGTGGAGGTGCGCATCGATGATGGATCGGCCAATGGACTCCCCGCCATCATCGACACGAAACTGAAGGAAATCGACCAGGAGTCCGGGTTCCCGTTCGAAGGCAAAATGGAGTCGCAGATCGAGTGCCAGTTCTGCCATTACCAATACAAGCCAAACCAGACGGCTTTCGTCAACCTGACACTACAGGTGCCGCAGAAGAGCTCGACCACGCTTAACTCGTGCTTCGACGGCCTCCTCAAGACTGAATACATCGAGGATTTCCGTTGCGACAGATGCCGCCTGCAGCATGCCGTGGATGTCAAGACCACCGAGCTAGCCCGTGGCCGAACACAAGGTGATCGAGATCGGTTGGACCATGAGATTTCGCGCATCCGCGAGGCTCTGGATACGGACCCTGAGGCCGACTTGGAGGGTATCGTATTCCCTCCGTCAGAGGCCGCCCCCAAGCGCAGGATTGCGCGGCATATGCGCATCACCGCGTTCCCAAAGGTCATCGCTATCCACTTGTCGCGGTCGATCTTTGATCAGAGCAGCTCGAGCAAGAACGCGGCCAAGGTTTCGTTCCCGGAGAGGCTCCCTCTGGGAAGCATCTTGAGCCAGAAATGGTACAAGCTACTTGCAATTGTCTGTCACAAGGGTAGTCACCATAGCGGACACTACGAGTCCTTCCGACGAAATCATATCTACCCGCCGTTCTCGACGCCCGAGGTCTTCAGCTCCTACGCGCAGAGTCGCACTGCCAGTCAGAGCCCCTCCGCGGCGCCAAGTCCCCGGATTGTACCACGCAGCAGCCCCGATGTCGAGGGCGACGGAAGCATTTCGAGAGCAGGCTCGTCGACTTCACTATCTGGAGCTTCGGCGACCCAACTCACCCCTCCTCAACCACGCCCTACAACCTCTGGCTCGCGTCGTTCTTTCCAGAGCACCACCTCGCGTTCCTCCAAGCAGACGTTGTCCCCTGCCTCTGATAGCAACAGCCCGACGACGGACCAGGGTCGCTGGAGTCCGGCTGCCCCGCGTCCCTCTCACAGCATACCCCGCCCTTCGCAGGATACCCCCAACGGGGTCAGTTCGCGGCTTCGGCGCCGTCGCAAACCGAACGATCGCTGGTGGCGCATCTCGGACGAGAAGATCAAGGAATGTAAGACCTCGGACGTGCTGGGCATGCAGAGGGAGGTCTACCTTTTGTTCTATGAGTTGGAGAAGCCTGATGTGAGCCCTATCATGGGACGTTGATAGCATAGTCGCTTTCTTTTCTTTTTATTAGAGTCCAGTATATACAAATATCCTCATACTTCTGTACAGATGGGGTGAATGAAATTAAAAGGGGATTTAGAAAGATATATTAAATCAAACCGAGGTCCTTTTAAACTGGCCGAATAGCCAGAATGCCAATGAAAAGCGAAGGGAAAAAATGAAAAGGGAAATAGTTACTTCCGATAAACGGAGACGATACAGATGACGTCACTTGACTTTCTGCCCTCTACCCCTCTCCCCCCTCTATATCTCTACATATGTACTGGTAGTATACTTCTACATTATATCTAGAGAATGAATTAAAGGAGAATAAAATACATGTGTAAGATTGGATGCACGACTGTTGACCGGGTTGAATACTAAATATGACACTAGCATACAAATAGTAATAGAAAATGGAAATGCAGCGAATGGCCTCGAAGTCCTCGGCCCCGCCACGAACAAAATACGGATTCCTCGGGCAGTTTTAGGGATCAGGGTGAAGTTATTCTATAGTTTCCATAGATATTATAGCTGTTAGCTGTAATAGGTGTTTCTAACTGTGGTCATTAAGAACTTAGCAGCGTAAGCTCATGATATAGATGTAAAAATCCCCTCATATTATATGTATGTACCACCTTATAAGCTCTCTTGACAGCTCCCGAGACATCAAACTAACAACATCGGGCTATCACGGGGAAGGTCGGGAACAGAAGGATTAGCCATACATAAAGAGGTTATATTAGATCATCTCATCTCTCTTCTCTTCTCTTTTTCTTGAAATCACACTGACCTCACTCCAGTTCCACTAAATCTCCACCACCGGTGAGTCTACCTAGTCTCTCCTTCACCGATGACGCTTGCCCCTCTGCCTTTTGCCCCTCCTCCTTATTTAACTCTGCCCGCTTTCAGCTCCCGGTAAAGGAGCTTTGGTTCACTGCATTTAACTACTTTACCATTGGATCTGACCCTCTTTCCTTCTTCTCTCTCCTTCAGATTTCTACAAACAAAATTATTTGTACAAAACTTCACAATGGGTGTCCTTGAGCAACTTAACCGCAAGTCCGGCGTCATTGTCGGCGACGATGTCCTCCGTCTCTTCACTTACGCTAAGGAGAAGGGCTTCGCCATTCCCGCCATTGTGAGTTTCTAATCTCCTCCTTTTCTGGAATCTTGGACTAATTCCCGCCAGAACGTCACCTCCTCTTCCACTGTTGTCGCTTCTCTCGAGGCCGCTCGTGACCAGAACTGCCCCGTTATCCTGCAGGTTTCCCAGGGTGGTGCCGCTTTCTTCGCCGGTAAGGGTGTGAGCAACGACGGCCAGAAGGCCTCCATTGCTGGTTCCATTGCTGCTGCCCACTACATCCGTAGCGTGTCTGCCGCCTACGACATCCCCGTCATCCTTCACACTGATCACTGCGCCAAGAAGCTCCTCCCTTGGCTTGATGGTATGCTCGATGCCGATGAGGCTTACTTCAAGCTGCACGGAGAGCCCCTCTTCTCCTCCCACATGATTGATCTGTCCGAGGAGCCCGTCGACTACAACATCAACACCACCGCCGCCTACCTTAAGCGCGCTGCCCCCATGAAGCAGTGGCTCGAGATGGTAAGTCGACTCAAAACGAGTTACAACACTGATACAGTGCTAACCACTTCTACAGGAGATCGGTATCACCGGTGGTGAGGAGGACGGTGTCAACAACGAGGATGTTGACAACAACTCCCTCTACACTCAGCCCGAGGACATCCTGGCTATCCAGAACACCCTCGCTCCCATCAGCCCCTACTTCTCCATTGCTGCCGGCTTCGGTAACGTCCACGGCGTCTACAAGCCCGGCAACGTCAAGCTCCACCCCGAGCTCCTCTCCAAGCACCAGAAGTACGTCAAGGAGAAGATCGGTTCTTCCTCCGACAAGCCCGTTTTCTTCGTCTTCCACGGCGGCTCCGGCTCCTCCAAGGAGGAGTTCAAGCAGGCCATCAGCTACGGTGTCGTCAAGGTCAACGTCGACACTGACATGCAGTACGCCTACCTGACCGGTATCCGTGACTTCATCCTCAACAAGAAGGACTACCTCATGTCCCAGGTCGGTAACCCCGACGGTGCTGATAAGCCCAACAAGAAGAACTTCGATCCCCGCGTCTGGGTTCGCGAGGGTGAGAAGACCATGAGCACGCGTGTCAAGGAGGCCCTTGCCGACTTCAACACTGCCGGCCAGCTGTAAATGTTGATATCTCTGTGATATCGCATCTTTGATTCCCTTTTTTTGCCCTTTTGATTACCCTCATATCTTCTCTTCATGCGGCCGAAAAAGCGTGGGGCGTGCCGGGGATGTGGGCGTCCAGGTTGTATGTAGCGTTGTATTCTGACACGCTGTAATGAATGTCTATATCACGGTCCTTATGACCACTCTGAAATATGAACTGTATTGTTCTGTTTGACAATTGTATTCCAGGACCTCCAATGTAGTTTACCAGTCAGACCATGTAGTATCTTAGCAATTCTGTATACTTCGACTATGCACTGTCAGCTCCACCTTCTAATTAGATATGTGTTGTTGACATCCATGGACTCTGTCAGAATACTATATGTACTTCTATGTTTGCTTGTCTCCTGCTCTTCCGTTGTAATCCAATCCCGGAACTCGACATCTAGGACATGGCGTGGTTCGCTCGATTGGCAAACCATGGGGTCTTCTCCTCTCATGTCCTTGTGTAGTTCTCTCTTATTATTGCACACAAGCTCATCAGGGTAATTCGTCAACATCTTCCGTTTCTCGTGCCTCATTCCTCGACCTCCATCAACCTCAATCGCGACTCCAGAAGCCAAAACATTAGCATGAACCCCGCCACTCCCACCCTCTATCCCTACATATATCACACCAACTAACCTTCATCAAATAGGAAACACCCTAGCACGCTAGTTCATCATGCCCTCTACCGGATTAACCCAAGTTCCACAAGCGGTATGTACAACTCAATCCAAGCAGGGCCCTCCCTACTAACAGACCTAATACTACGACAGGTCCTCGACCTCAGCGGCGACCTGGAAGAACTAGTCTACACCAAGGCGGCAATTGGAATCTACGACCGAACCATGCTGGCAATCATCAACACGACAACGACACCCGCACAGCTCAATCTCCACCGTGGGTCCTGGCTGCAGGCTAAGTCGAAGGTAGCATCTTTGCACCGGAGCATCGTGGCGGGTTTCAATCGGCTGCCACGTCATATGAAACGCTCCTTTGTGAGGGGTAACCGTTCGACTCTGTCCGAGCATGGGTTTCGGCCATCGGCTGATGACTTGGAGATTACTCGTCCCGGTAGTAGGGGCGTTATCATTGTGCTTTGAAATGAGTGGGTAGGATGCATACTGCGTGTGGTATGTTGTTGCATAGTTATGTGTTGGGTGTCTGATCCGTCAGGCCACTCATGTACGTACATACGTAGACAGCGCCAGATAGCTGTCAATATCTTTTTGATTCCTGCTGAGATGCTCAAATTCCTGCGCTCATATATAATAATGGACAGCTCAGACATTCATGCCAATAGCAAATTAGTTCTTAGGACTAAGATTTCACCAACACATTCCAGCGATTCTTGTAATGTATTGGGTATACTGGCTCCGTAACTCGCCTGTTAACCACTACGATTTACCTATACGAAAAGTGCGATATGCCAATGGCAAAGAAATTGACTGGTAGATCGATGGTTTGTAGCCACATCTCTGGTCTAGCGATGTTAACCAATATTCATTCCTGGCGCGGTCCTCGCGCATGAATGAGCTGCTTGGACCGAGAAGACGATTCACTGGCTAAGTCTAACATCTACTCGAACTAATATCTTCCAACGGAGCACATCCAATCCACAAAGATGGATAAAACAGAGTTGATGCCGCAGCTAAGCAACACAGGTTCCGCCAGGAAGGATATAAACCAAGCAGCGATGATCAGATCTCGCCTTGGTGAATTTACAAGAATAACATGACGGCGTTTCAGTCGTAAGCGGGGTGACTCTCAGATAGCGACAACTCAATCTATGAGCCTGGATCCAAACATGTGGGCATCTTGGACGCCCGGGTCAGGGCAACAGGGCCAGGGCACCAGCATACACAATAAAAAATATCCCTTCTGATAGAGCAGCCGATTCTTGGTGAGTCGGAGCACATCGACTCTATCAACAAGCGTGCTTGCGAGTCCACTCCCGCGCGACTTCCTCGTAGCGCCCCCGGTCGTTTTTGTACTGTTCTGCAATCCGTCCCTCGACGGCGTCGTCGGGCATCGGCTCGGATAGTAGCTGGCGGGCAAACTGAAGGACTGCGGCGATCTTCGAGCTGGGTTTCCATTCGTCGGCTCGGAGCATGCCGAGGCACATGCTTCCTTTTTCGTCGTTGGTTACGTTCGGGTGGTAGATTTTCGTTGCGAAGGAGACTGTCGGTGGCTTGAAGGGGTACTCCGTGGGCAGGGAGAGCTTGACTAAGAACTTGCCATTCTGTGTTGTTTGCAAAAGAGTTAGAAACGCTGTTTGCTGAACATGGACTGCGAGGCTCTAGTTCGGGGACTCCCGTTGGAGATCTTGGTGGGTTATGATGAGGACGAAGAGGGGCGAGATTATATTTGACATACGTAATATGCTGAGCCTTCAGGCCCTTCCATGATGACGTTCCACTCGTACACGTTCGACTCATCGGCTAGTTCAACCGTGATCCCTTCCGGAGGTGATTCGGTGAGCTCAGTCAGCTCCTATAGTTGAAATATATTGTCAGTACACTGACAGATGAAGACGGTCATGTGGAAATATAGGTTCTTACCTTTGATATGCGCTTGATGCTGCCCATGGTGGTGTTCAGTTGATTTGGCGGGGCGATAAGAGCGGGGAGGTCAAGAAAGAATGCAGGGAAACGCGTTAAAGCAAGACGCGTTTCAAGATGTCGAAGCAATGAATAAATAAAAATTTATTGAGCAATATGGAAAAGACGCTATGTGTGACAGATGCCAGAAGAACAAAGGGGGCCTTTAGGGCGAAGCTAGAAGCTCCGAGTGGGGTGCGCGGCAAAAGACGTCAGTGGAGAAGTTTGATATGCCGCTCTATCGTACATCATGACAATGAACACTATGCATATGTACGTATAATTGACACCAGTATCCATTGATACTCGCTGTTGTAACATTTGATGCAACTTGTTCCATTTCTACCATTACCCAATGTATATTTTCAGTTACTCTCTCTGAATCATCACCATCAGTCCCATGAGTCCAAGCATCACTGTCTTGAGCCAGGGGTGCTCGCTGAGCATGATAGTAACGTATCCAACCATAGGTATGTAGCCACGGACGCTGCCAACAATATCCTCCGCCCGGTCGAGATAATCCTGGTCTAATCTTGTCAGTAACCTTCGGAAGTGCCCTCTCTTCAAGCTTTCGTATCGCTTACCTTGAGCGTACAGCTCAGTATCGTCTGCCAAATTGTTGTCACCCTACCGATGTGTTAGCAATATCCCCGGCCATCCGAGTTGCTGGGTCACCTACCTTGGTGAGGAGCATATGCGAGTTAGGTGTTGTGTCCCTAGAACCTCGTTAGCATAGAGAAGCAGCCCGCAAGAAGAATTGCCGGGTAATAAGCGGGGACATACACTGTAATTTCCTTCACCTTCTTTGCGCTCGCACGTCCTTCTACCTCAGGGAAAGTGCGGACAACCCTGTGGACAATCGGAATAGACTTTCCTCGAACATTATAAACGAGAACTTCTCCGATCTCCGTCCTCGTGTCTCGATTCCAGAGAAAGAGCAGATCACCACGCTGAAATGCGGGCTCCATTGATCCTGTGGAGAGGTAATGTGAGCTGCGTTCAGACCGTTGTGCAATAGCTTTATTTACCAGATAAAACCACCACTATTGGAGAGCTTGATGCGGACACGACCGAGAGGCCTTTCCACAGCATAAAAGCCGTGGAAAGAACGAGCGCAAAGTTCAACACTTGTGCAATTGATTGCCGAGCATTTGTGATGCTGGAGGAGAGGGAGGATAGCATGGTGGGCGGTTCGCGATCAACGGACAGACGAGAGGTTTGGGGTAAGTCGCTCTAATAGTAACTGTTCTTGATCAGAATACTGCTGATAGTTCTCTCTTTTCTTTTATCCTGCAAAATGGAAAGGGACAATACCTATTGTTCAGCTAATTGGGCTGGTTGGGTTGTGTTTTGATAGAGCTGGAGGGTGCGGAGAGGTGGCCTCGTCGGAGATCGCCTTGGCGCAGATCCGCTGCCTTTCCGCCTTGCGGGAGGGATAACCAGTGAATATTGGAATACCACATGAGAGTACATACATCGGGTTTCAGCTAGTTCAGAAATTGAGGCCTTCTCTCGGATAGGATTTACTTCTATATCTGGTAGTCTTCCGAACACCGTGCCCAGGTGGACTCCGCTTGGTTGCAACAAACTTGGATTTAGGGGCTTTGCAGCTGTGTGGGATAACATGTGCTACACTGTAAACATGTGTTTAGCTGAAATGACAGATTAAACTGACCAGAGCCCTCCGCCCAGGGCAAGAGTGGGATCTGTGTGTTCTCTTCAGAGCTCTTCGTGGTCGATGAACCGGCAAGCACAAATCTCCGCAAATCGCCCCCGAGGCCTGTTCGCAAGCTCAGAGTTAATATTGTGCTAAAAGGATGCAATAGTCCAGTGAAAAATGCCTGTTGGCTTGCCTTGGTATGAATGCCACCCGTGGAGAACCGTTCTATCCTGATACCTACCTAGGTAACCATGTATACTTAGCTAATGATATTCAAGATATGCCTGTTTCTCACTCTGTGTTCTTGAGTTACTTGTCCAAAGATGGTATTTTTTTTTTTTTTTTCACATTATTTGCTGAGCAAAGACATACAAGTCCTAGGAGATCAGGTCATATTCCGTCTCCCCGGACATCCTTGGACATCATTGGCCAAAGCTTGTTCTATTTTCTGGGACATGGTCTTCATTATAAGCAATAGCTACATAGTTTGACATCATAAGTTAATTGTTCTCTGATTCTTCCAATAGGTTCACCTTTTGGGGTGCGCGGAGAAATCACCATGAAGAATGTTGTATCCCTAGAATTCGAGTCACTAGACTATGTCGCATGCTAGTGCTATTCGCGATACAGACTTGGTTGAGTTGGTTTCAAACATTAAAGTTGACCTCTATCATGCCTCAGCTAACCCGTCCATCGCCAGATGGAAATCTAGTAGATTATAAGCAAAATTCCTGGGGAGGTTTTAGATGACTGACGCGGGTGTATTTATTTCCAACTGAGCTCCAAGAACCCCATTTGCAGATCGCAAGGGGCTTCATTCCTGGGGGCAAGGTTTGCATAAAAATGTCCGAGCAGGAACATTAAAGATGATAAAAGCTCGAATCCCACTGCAGAGATTAGCTTCATCCAGGACTGATGTATTGCGGATAAGGGTGACTCGGTCGAACATTCTTTATAATCATTTCTATATGATTTGCTCTACGGTTGCCCAATATGCAGTCTGTCTCCTCAGAATCAACCTTATCAGCAGACGAGCCCGAAGCTTCAGCCATTGAGCTCCTGCATGACCATTGTCTTGAGCTTACCCCAGATGGGAGATATGTGCGGTGGTTGGGAGATCACCCAAGACATCCTCGAAATTGGTCTGGCCTACGGAAGACTTACGATATTGTCCTTATCTGTCTCCTGGATCTTTTCATGTGTGACCAGACTAAATCCCAACTTTTTTGTCAGTAGGCTAACAATAACTAGAACAGCGTCCAGCACCGCAGGTGTGAGTGTATACAGCCATCCATGACTTACAATATCGCCGAGCTAACACCTTGGGATTTTCTAGTCGGCAGCTGCTGCACAGGCCAAACATGAATACAATATCAGCGAAACGCTTTCCATTTTTACATTTGTCACGATGTGAGATCAGCTGGTCTTCGTCTACATTGCGTATCTGACATTGAGCAGATTTCTTCTCGGCCAGGTGGCAGGCACCATCTTATTTCCCCCGTGGTCGGAGACATTTGGGCGCAAGAACATGTACATTGTGAGCAGTGGTCTCAGCGCCATTTGCTGTATGATCATTGGTCTCGTACGTTCTATGCCAGTCGTTATCATCATGCGCATCATCGCCGGGCTTCTTTCTGCGATCCCTTACACCATCATCGGCGGCAGTATCGAGGACATGTTCAACTCGCATGCTCGAATATGGGCCATGTACTATTGGACAATTGCTTCAAACATTGGACTCATTCTTGGACCCATCATGAGCAGCTATATTGTTGCAGGTCTTGATTGGTACGTAGCTTTCAATCATGATCTGTATAAATTTCTCACAACTACCCAGGCGATGGAACTTTTATATCTTTGCCATAATTGTTGCTGCAATTACAGGTGGCCTCTGCTTCATTCGGGAATCTCGACCTTCCTTGTTACTGGCCTATGAAGTGAAACGGGTCACCGATATGGCCACTGTGCAATATATCCCACCGCCACTCAACCACGACCATATCCCGGATCTCAACACATTTGTAAAAGAAGCCCTCTTTCGCCCAGCCCAGCTCTTCTTCCAAGAACCCATCATTTTCGTCATCGCAATGATGATATCGGTCGCCATGTCCCTCATCTACATCTTCACAGAAGCCCTCCAACCCATATACGAGTCAATGGGATTTGCAAAATCAGACGCTTCACTAATGTTCATCGCTATCGGTCTGGGGACCTGTCTCAGCACATTGACCCGTATGCTAGACAGCTACATTCTCAACTATTTCCACAGACAGGGACGCCCTATTAAGCCGGAATACAAGCTCGTCGGGCTAGGCCTTGGTGGTCCATTCCTGGCAATTGGTCTGTGGTGGTTTGCCTGGACTATTCCACCTGAGACCCAAACTCCGTGGCTCGTGCCCACGATTTCCCTCGTTCTGGTGGGCTATGCGCTGACGGAAATGGATACCGTGCTGTATGGGTATATCTCCGATGCTTATCTGAGTTACTCGGCCAGTGCCACCGCTGCTGTTGCATTCATGCGAGCGCTGCTGTCGGGTGCCTTTCCGTTGTTTACACCTCAGATGTTTGATCGGTTGGGAAATAATGTTGCTATGTCTGTGCTTGCTTCTGTGGCAACTGCGTTTTGTATAGTACCGCCTGTGTTTATCTGTTATGGAGAGCGGATTCGTCGGGCGAGCAAGTTTGCTCGGTATAGCTGGGAAATCCAGGAGGAGCTGGGTAAAGAAAAAGAAGGTTGGTGAGGTATGGAGTTTTGTTTCTTTGAATGTATGTACCTGCGACTTCCAAGTGAATGCATATTCTATAAAGCGTATGAAGTATAATTACATGAGGACCAGATAAACGAAAGCGTAAGAAAGAACACAAAGTCACATCTGAGCATCAAAGAAAGAAGGAAATATCGACACAAAATGCGCTCACACGGCTTGGGTGGCTTTAGCAGTGGCGTCCTCTCCCCGAGTCGAACTCACTTCCCAGTACTTCTCTTTCTTCCCTCGGTTAACGACCAGCCCGTAGACATCAAATGGGTCGACAAAAGTCTGGAGCCAATGACGGGGATCGTCATAGCCAGGGCCCTCAATCTCCGTGACACCATCTTCAGCGAGATAAATCTTATTTGACCGCGGAAGCCAGTGCATGGGATGAAAGATATTCAGCAAAGTGGTATTGCTATACATGAACACCACCTCAAAGAACCAGAAAAACCACTCCTGTTTCAATAAAGGACTGATATTCTCGATGTCAGTGTAGGCATTCAGGCTCGCGGCAGTAAAGTATTCCACGGTGCGGTAGATGGTACGGATCGTAATGAGGGTACAGCTGCAGTATAATACCAGTAGTGCATTCTTGATCTTATGGTTCAATACGCCTCCACGGGCGCAGTTGAAGTGGAATCGGCCGGCCAAAGACACAAAGCCTGCCATTAGAAAGATTTGCATGATAAGCGCCGCCTTCAGTAGTGCCTTTCCGGTGTTCTGCGAGCTGACGCTAGAGTCTGTTCTCGCGACCCGGGCCGCCCCGTTCGCGGTAATGCACTCAATGACCACGCCCAGGGCGAGGAAGGTCGTGAATACGCGGCCAGGGTGGATAGGGGAGTGGTATGGGATGTAGTAGAGTATGCGACCCAAAATGAAGAAGTTAGCACCCTCATATACTGGTCTAGAATGATAGAAGATTGCTTGTTAGTAGCGTATCTCATGATGGGATGGGTACTCCTTACGGTCCGGCGAGGAGAAGCACAGTGCTTGCGATGAAGACACCTATATTTCCCCACTGCCCGAATGCTCCAATAGTTCGCATGACGAAACCCGCCGTGAACAGAAGGGCAGACCAGGGAAGAAGGCCGGTGACTTTCCAAGACTTATATTTGCTGGGAAATCTGGTTAATTTGAGGATTCCTACTGGGTAGGCATCACATACAAGCATTGATACCCATGGAGACCGCCAGAAATAGCGAATAGAACGGCAAAGGCAATTGCAGCGCCTTCGTTTGGTGCATAGAACCACAGGCTTCCTTCCTCTTTTGTTTTGTCAGATAAACAATTGATCATGATTGATTTAGTAGGCGACTCACGATATGATGACCTCGCCTCGAGCATATTTGTAGATCCACCAACTATATATTTCTTGCAAACAATCAAAGCTTTTGTAAAAGCACTCCTGTGTAGTTGATGGAGTTGATGGCAAGTTGGTGAGTATGCGTATCTTACTACAACTAGCTGGCTATGCCAGGGGGACGTTACATATATATATACAAAATTTGGGCAGTGCTTTTCATGACCCAAACAGTGTCCGCTTCAGGCAATTTCGTATTCCTCCAACGCCCCATGATCTCTATGTATTTTACCTACATGCCCCCTCAATCTGCATGGATTCACAAAGAACATAGCGAATCCCGATTGGGTCTAAGATGACCTCGTATTTGCCTTTGCGGCTATGCTGGGCCGCTCATAATACGAAGCTTCACTGCCACAGATCCTCGACTTATGATTCGCCAACCTTCTTATCACGCTAGTCCTACTTGAGTAACTCGTTTTCGCTTGTTTTAAGTGCATTGGATAGGGCCGTCGCATCATCATTTTACCTCAACACCAATATATGTGGACATAATACTTCGCGGAGAGGTTGATAATGATGGGCTATAGCTTAGGAATACCCCGGGACCAGGGAAAAGCAATATCCACAGTCTACCAACGACAGACATTGTTCTGGAGGGGGCCGACTTAAGCTGATAGTACATCCGAAATCCGAACGCTACTGTAGACACTGTATTCAATTCAAGCGCACAGATATTTTTTTCATTAGAAAGTCAGCTTTGAAATGCCTTAGATGTACTGGTGTTATACTCGTGGATATGCTAATGCAGGCTACTAGTAGGAGAGGGGAAACTTTTGCCGAAGTCGCATAATGTTATCCTCGAGCGGCTCCGTGATATCGTTAAATTGACCCGAGGTAGCACCACGCTGGGCTTCTCAGACGCATGGAAAACCCATCTCCCCGAGTTCAAGCGGGCTTTAGCAGGTGCCCAAGGGGCGCGGCTAAGTGAGATGTTCTTAGTCGGACTGAAGCCATTGTTTGAGAACAAATATCCCGGAAAGACTCAGCAGTCTTCGTCATTTCCTGCGATGGACACAGATGTTTCATACGATCGCGAGAACTGGGGATTGACCTTGACGGCCAATGGTGGTCAAGTATCTACAGCTCAGGAGTACAAAACCTGGTACGTTGGTCTTCGGAACAGCAAAGATGCCGGTGCGCGGTCTTACATAAACCATCAAAAGATCGCCACCACGATTGTCGGAGCTTGACTGAGTTGGACAGCTTGGATAGCTGTGATTAGAAGATCTTGCAGACGGAATAGGTGTTGGATGGTAGTGCAAATGTTGGTGTCTTTGGGATATATGTATGTATGATTGGGAACTTGTCTACTGCTCAAAAAGGATTGGTATATTATTTTATACATATGTAGTTCCTGCGTAGTAACGACTGCGCGTTTTAGCCCTGGCATCAATCTCTTGAGTTCGACTGTATTCAAACAAGGTGATCTTCCGAATATGTGTGCCGCATATGTCCGCTTTCAAGAAAAGCCTCGCTTATTTTGTCTCTCTCCTGCTCATTTGGGTTCGAGCCTCAACCGCCTGCGCAAATGTCATTGAATTATCCTTCCGTGTGTTCTCCATTGATTGTGACGTGTCGACCCAGCTTGGGTCCTGGGGAGGCACGTTTTGAGTTGAGCAGATTCGATAATGCGGGTCTACCAACCACAAAGTCGCAAATCGAAGGTACCCCGGCCGCAATGGCTCTGCGAGACTGAAAGGTTCGGCCTTGGACTGCAGTGTATTTGGCCAAGCAAGAAACTGCCCATTCCGTGAAATCGGGATAGACCCCATGGTCTGTAGAGCATCCGGGGAACAAGGATCATCGCTGTCGTATGGCCACTCAGGAACATCAAAAAGTCGGTCCATAGCCAAAAACTCTGCAATATTGAAATCATAGCTATCGATCTTCGTCTCCTGTTGGAATGAAACCTTTGCATTTTTGATGTTGTGCATATCGAAGTAGCATGTGGCTGTAGAAACGATATGCTCATTGAGGATACCAGCAACGTTGTGATGGGGATCACCACCATACAGCGGCTTTTCTGGAGTGAGCTCAATAGTTGACACTCGAACTATGATCTGCAGGCCCTCAGATTGATCTTGGAGAGATATAGAGTAGTACTGGTGATCTGGATCGGGAATTAGGGGAGTTCCATCAGGTTCACTCCATTTGGGCATGATCGCGCGGCCTGTATTTTCACCAGTCTTCCATTCATCATATGCGAAGGAGGTCCCCGGCTCAACGCCTCTCACAGCGTACAACCGCTTATTCTTTGCGAGGATCAATTCTTCCAGTTCTTCGGAAGAATTCCATTGCCATGGCTGCATACTAGCGAGAAGATCATGGTAGCCAGAGTCAGGCCATATGCGGTATCGCTTCTCGGGCTCAGGGAGATTAAGATATTCTCTTGTTCATGATCGAACGTCAGACCATTCTTCTTCTGTGATGGGTGGTGCGCGTCCCTCCCTCGCGTTGTTCAGGTAATAATATAACTTGGGATGCGAATTAATGCCTTCCACTTGGAAGTCATAAGTCCTGATTCGAATTGGCGTCCGACCTTGATCTCCAAGAATAAGCATTTCATTCCACGGTTGCATGGCGGCCGAAATGAGCCCTTCGAGCGCTTTGTATATGGCCCTTTCCTTTGGATGCACACCATTGACATAGGAGGTAATTCTAGCTCCTCGCTCGGTTAAAGCAACCTCACAGGGAAGACATTGAAAGGCATTGGACCAGTATTTTCGCTTTCTATGATGCCGAAAATCCCTTAAGTCTCTTTGCTTTCTCTCTTCGAGATGCATCTCTTTGTGTCTGTTGGATGGTTTCTCGGGAATCGAAGCAATCTGGGACTGTGATTGTCTCCAGGACCTAGGTCTCTCTAGATCAACTTTGCCCCCGTCGGTAAGGACTCGAGTGCGCCCATAAACGAGAGGATACATAAAGGGGTCAACCATATGTCGAACTGGATTCTCAGAATCACTCCTAGTAGTATCATCCAAAGCAGAAGACGAAGCGGATCTCGATTCCGAAAAAAGCGGCGACATCGATTCGCGAAGCTCTTTGAGAAGATCGTCATGAACTTGAGACTTGATGACTCGTGAGTCCGCATCAAATACAGCAACATAGCCCGTGCGTTTGAAATCAGACGCTTTGTCTCGCAACTCCTTTACACACCACTGCCATGAGGGCTCATCGAGATCAAAGACCGAATCGGCGTGCTGATGCCATTCTTCCAGTGTCTGCGGGTCTTCGGACTGTTTTCCCAGTTTGGCTGTTCTGGGACATACGACATGAACTGCAGCATGGAAAGCTCTCTTCGAAACGACTGGGGAATTTGTCTCCAATCGGCAATTCCATGTGCGAAACGATTGTCTTTTGGCTGCTCATAGAACAGGGCTACACCATTGAAACCAGGGACTCGCAAGGGGGCGGTGCCGCTGTTGTTCAACTTAATGGGTGAAGGGCCCATCTTTATCATCCCTGAGTAGCAGCGAGATGAAGAGAAGGGGATTTGGGTCGTTCTAGCGCGACCAAGTAGTCGGGGATGAAAGTGAAGCCGTTGGAGGATGTTAGCCATTAAGAAAGGGCGATAGGTATCAAGTTGAGGATGCTGCCATGAGAGGTGAGAAGCGGCAAGAATGTGTGTGTGAGAGAGAGAGAGAGAGAGAGAGAGAGCTGTAAGATTCCGGGACGTCGACTTGGATCGAGTGGGCCAAGCGAGTGGTAATTTTGATACAGGGCGTTTACAGGGCGTGTACAGGACCCTCGGGATCTCTGGGTCTTAGCGCGGGCGCTAAGATTATCTATGGCTTATTTAGCTTATTTAGCTCGATTCCGAGATACACTATTGCTTCACCCCCACTTGTCTCGACAGCTAGACACTGACATCAAATGCAGGCCACTTCAGCTTCAAATTTGAGCTTGAAACTAGTCCACTTCTACCACCTGCTCTCCTCCTTTTCAGCGTCCAGAACGAAAATATTCTCAAAGCCATCCTTTATCACCTCATCATCAACAATGAGGATTGCCAAAAATTTGGCCGTCTCCGATCCGCTGACGTTCTCTGATCGAACATGGTGACAACCGGGAGCTTCATACCAGAAGTCGCCCTTTTTCGACACGATCGGTTCGTCACAATTCATTTGATTAAGAACTGTCCCATCAACCACCATCGCAAGGGCTGCTGCTCCGCCATGGGTGTGAGAAGGTGTGGCTGCGTTTGCGTCCATATGAATTGAGAGGACAAGGACGGATTTCCCCGGTATATTCGATGGATTGTAGACCTTGAGGATCTCAAATTTTTCCCGTGGCCGCCTATAGATATAATTATATATATATCAGTTAACAAATTCAAATATCATAGCTTCAAAATGTCTTCGATTTCTGCTTTTTGTTTTTAGTGTTCACATACCCTTCAATTTGATAGGTGTCCCCAATTTTAATCGCCTTTAGGTTTGCAGCAGCCATTTTAACGTGTTTCCGAGATACAATCGGTTTGAATATTACTCAAGAAAGCAATGATAGAGGTAAATGTGTTCGGTTTGAACTTTCAAGAAAGGGTGGAGGGAATTCAAGTACATATTTAAAGGCTTTGAATAGCCGCGTATACGGGACCATGACCCCATACAGCTAACCGCCGCCTGCTGTCCGGAAATATATTGTGTAGTTGTCTTTAGTTGCCCACGGCTTCCTAAGCTAAATCTGGCACTGGAATTTTCAATGTTAGGAATTCAAGATACTGTAGATCTCATCGGGAACAATATTTGTCTGTTTCCAATAATTGGCTACGTTTGGTGGATAGGCTATCGGATACGGAATCATTGTTATTCCGAATATATATCCCTCTCACATCCGCATGGGTCCGATCCGCAGCAGGTTATCGCGGGGTATGCGCGAGTAGACCTTAACAAAACCCCTCAACAGGCGGGAAGATTCCGCCAAATACCCGTTTCAATATACCTGCGGGCTACCCGCCAAGAACCCGGAGCCTGCCCGTGGCCCCATAGAACCCGCCCGCAGGTAAAACCGGTCCGTTACCGTGTCAAGCCCGTTCAGAGCTACCCGCGAGTCTTGTCAATGTCTAATGGCGAAGCCCAATTACATCACGAATAAGAGCAGTGAATTTTATTGCTTCGACGAGAACATGTTCTTATCCAAGTCACAGCTATTTAGCGCTTTCGGGACTGGGATGGTGGAAGTTCCGGACGGGTTTATTGTCGTAGGCTATTCGGAAATGTGGCGTTGTCAAGATACCCTACCCGCAAACGGCCTAGAATAGTATGCCCTTCGGTAGAAGTTAATTATGATGAACCTACATACCATAGAAGGTAGACTGAATATATATAAGTACCTCGAAGAAGCCATATCCCTACCCTACTCGAACAATGAAAATCTCTCTCTACAGGCCCGGGTATTCAAGACTCACGATGCCACTCCCATCAACTATGCGCGCTCTCGTTCAGCCAAGTTCTGAGTCGAGGGATCTCTCTCTCATGACGAGACAACTTCCAGTTGCCAACCTATCCCAAGGAGAACACCTGATTCGCGTCCACGCTTGCTCCCCGTGCGCTGGTGAACTACTTTGGCCCAAGAACTTTCCTCCACCAAAGCCTCGCGAGTTGGTGCCATGCCCCGATATCAGCGGCACCATCCTCTCTGCACCTACCGACTCCCCCTTCCAGCCTGGCGATGAGGTGTACGCTCGGACCAACTACCTTCGCCCGGCTAATGCGCGTGACTTTACCATTTGCGTCACCAACGAACTTGCGCATAAACCGAAGAGGTTGAGCTGGGTAGAGGCGGCTGCGGTTCCAGTTTCAGCTGAGACTGCATGGCAAATTCTATTCATTCATGCGGGCATTTTCAAAGGGGAAGAAACCGATGTGTCTGCCGCACGAGAATCTTGGAGTGGAAAGAGAGTCCTTGTCACGGCTGCGTCTGGCGGCGTCGGAATGTGGGTCACACAACTAGCCAGCCTGCTCGGAGCCGATATTGTAGGGACCTGCGGTCCTGAGAATCTGGCTGTTGTGAAGTCTCTGGGGGCAAATGAGGTCCTGAATTATCGAACGACAAGTTTGCGTGACTGGGCAGAGCAACCGGGCAAGAAGGTAGATGTCGTGATCGATTGTATCGGCCGGAAGTCCCTCGAGGACGCTTGGTGGGCTGTTCGAGATGGTGGCGTCATTTTGAGTATATTCCAGCCGCCGAAGCAGGTTTGTCCAGAGAATTATAAGGGCGAAGCGGTCCAGGACGTCTTTTTCGTAATGGAGCCGAACAGGAAGCAATTGGAGCAGATAACGAAGTTGGTTGACGACGGCAAGTGTCGGCCAATGGTGGATAGTGTATGGCCACTGGAACAGTTCGAAGAGGCGTTCAAAAGGCTGGATGGAGGACATTCGAAGGGGAAGATTGTTTTTGATTTATCGTTGAATCAGTAGTCCCTTTTAACTTGGGCTCCCTGGTGTTACAGTACGTGGTGAAGAAGAATTAGTCTGGTCTCTTTCTTTCAATACAGAATGATGTGACTTTGGAGCAATAAAAGTTTTTGCACCGTAGGTATCTCCTTACACAATGATTGATCTCGAACGAATCAACATAAACACATTGATGAATTGGATGGCGAGACACCCACAATATGCAATAGAGGCATTCCGTATCGGTTTGTCTTGTAGGTGCAGTCTATGACGAATACCCTATTATACAGGTTAGCATATTTGATTGACTCGGGATGTGCAAACATAGAAAAGAGGACCCGGCCTTCGCTATCCTGCTTAATGGAATATTTCAGTCGTTTTCCTGTAGAGTCTTTAGTAGAAATTCAAGGGGTGTACTGTTACCTAGCTTCTGTCTGCGTAAAGCCTCTCGTGCGTTATAAATATCTTTAGGCGAAACTAAAGTATTAGGATGCTGTCTCCTAAGCAGAGCTAGAATATCGAGGGGCTTCGATCCAGTTTCAGAGAGATCGAGGATCTTCTGAAGCTGCTCCTCTGTCAGCCTACGAGCAGTAGGATGGCCTATCATATTATTATCAGCGGCATGATTATGATTTGGGTTTTGAACTTGCAACTCCCATTTATCACCTATGATCTCTTTTCCATATAGCTTGAATGGACAGCCAATCCGTCGTGTAGTTGTCGTCCTTCGTTTCACCCCTTCAGGTGCATTCACTCGGTCACGATATGTGCCACCGCGGTCACAACCAAGATAGATGTACTTGTCGGTGATTGATCGTATAGTAGTGATGGCGCAACCTTGCGAGAGAGCATGCTGACGAGCAGAGGCAACCATTAAATCTTTGCTATCAAAAACTCATTTTTGAAAATCTTAAGAGATTTGGGGTTCTTAGAAAAGAGGGAAGGGGGAGAGCTGGGTTTATACTATACTATGGTATGGGCATTTAGAATGATGTTGCTATGGTAATTCCAATTCAATCACACGACGTTTTTTAATTAGCTAACTAATCATCAATATTACATAAATAACTAAGGTGTGTCCCCTAACTAACTTGTTAGGAAAAGTGGGAGTGCCCCTACCTAATTAGGCAAATGCTGCCGTAGCCAAGTTGAACCTAAATCAGAGAATGTTTGTCAGCCCATGAGACTTCCACTACCCCCACCAACAGCACCACGTGCACCGGCAGTCAGTCGTCAGATTATGACGCACACGACCTCGAACTGGTTTCCGACATATTCTTAACGCTCGACCCCATGGATCCCATGGAAAATCAACGGATAGGCAGACCGACGCGATCCTCGCTAGCCTGTTTACCTTGCCGGTCGCGTCACCGGAAATGCGACGGCAAACGACCATGTTGCAGCCGATGCGCTGAGGGCAGCCAGGAATGCAAGTATGCCCGGTCGCGAAGAGGTGGGCTCGATCGTGCGGCTCGGACAGAGCAGCACACACGATGGGCGTCAGCCGAATGCACTGCACCGATAAAGAGCACGAGTGCGCCGCGGTTGATGGAAAGTCAGCAGCTCCAGGGATTCACGCCTCGAATGGTCGAAGTGCACACTCATAATACTCACACCCTACTCGCTGGAGTCGTGATTGGTGACGAAACATTCACCACGGGCTCTTCGGCTGACCTTGTTAGCATGGAGAATGATCCCTTAATCGATTCATACTACAGGAACTTCCATCCATTACACCCTTTCCTCTTACCACGGATGGCCCTGACGAGACTTTGTCAAGATCCGTGCAAACAGCCCACTTTCAGACCGCTTATCGCCATTATGCGCTTTGTCGGGAATATTATGAGGTCACAAGAATGGTCTATTCCGCTGAAAGATCATGCCGAAGCCTGCTTCACAAAAGCACCGCCGACAGATCCCATTCTGGTCCAATGCCGACTCTTATACTCCATACCTCTGTTCTGGTACGAACATAAGATTGACGCTAAGTGGCAAATGGAAACTGCAATGCGGCTCGCCATTGACTTGCGAATGTCTGATGATGAATTCCTGGTAAAGCACGGTGACAACGATTCGGTAGTACAGGAATGCTGGAGGCGGACATGGTGGATGTTGTTCACCGTAGATGCCTATTATGCGGGGACTTTGGGAACTATGAATTTTGAAGTCTTGAACATCGGAACTACCGTGGCCTTACCTTGTGACGAATCGGACTATGAGTTAGGAGTGAGTATGGTTAAGAGTTGCTTGTCAAGGACTATTCCAGTATTTCCCCGGTATCCACACATTTCAGATAGCTTACCTAGGCACAGGAGATCCCCGAGCCCAAGACCCTACAGGATTTCGACTGCCGTGAATTCACCTCCGATGATATTATATTCTCATCCTTCGCCTACCTTATCGGTGCTGTACGATGCATAGCATTGGCAATATCCACAGTCCCAAAGATCGCCGGGAATGAGGGTTCAACGAACGTGATACAGGCTGCCGACTCCATCTTGAATGGATGGTTGCTTTTGTTACCGGAGAATCGCAAGCAAGTCATGGATAAGGCAGGAGAAATTGATGAGCTCATGTTTCAAGCGCAATTGCTCATTCATGTGTAAGCCAACCGGATTCTTTCGTCATGCGGAGAGTATCGCGATGTTAATCATCCCGTAGAGCCACCATTGTCTTGCACCGGCCATTGTCAGATCTCAAATTTTATTCTGTTGAAGAAGTTTCGAGCTGCGCCCGAAATCCAAGCCTCGATACGCCCGCGCCGGACCTGATAAATGTGCACACCGTGCGTGTCCTACGCGCGGTGGAGGCACAGGTCCGGCTTATAGCGTTACCTACTGCAAAATTCCACCACACCCCCTTTGTCACCTGCATGATTAGTAAGGGTACGTTAGCGCTGCTCTCGGCTTGCAAATCTTGCCTTGGTGGAAAAGACTTGATGATTGCAAGAGACCAGATCCGAATGACCGTCGGCTGTCTCAAGGCACTGGGCAAAGTGTGGCCAAGAACAGCAAGAAACGTGAGGGAGATCCAGACGATTGCTTCCCACATCCTTGGACTTGAGTCTAGCGCGGGGAGCGACTGCCAGAGGAATGAGCCCAGTGAAGTGCCAGGTCCTTCAGGTGGCGAAGGGCAGGGAATTTGGGAGGCGGATGCAGAAGCAATTAGCGCCGGTATTGATATACCACCTTCCTTAAGTTCTATTGAGGATCTCTGTGGATGGTTCAGTGTTGGAGTTCCCGACTCCAATAGCTTAGAATTCACGGCGTATCTATAGAGACTAGTGTCTAAATAATATTCTTCTTTCTCGCTCTAGTGTTAAGCGTCCTACATAAAGCTACTTGCCTCGACTGTAATTAAATACGATCTCTAGCCCTTAAATTTATACGTATATTAGAGATCAAGTTTTAAATGTTATTAGCTAATACCTATCGTTTTCTAACTATAGTTACCTAGGTCTATAGCCGTAAGGCCTATCGGTTTGTTATCGTTATCCTCCTCGAGCCCTATATACTAGAATTATTAGAGGAGACCCGTTCGGTGTATAAAGTTAGCCACGTAGCGGGTGGTCTATAGGTTCGATATGATCTTATTATAGTCAATTTCTATACTGCTCTTATGACCAAGTTGAGAGATCAAGCTCATATCCTCGGGTGAGTTATTGTCTGCAATATGATCTTGGGCTCTATGCGATAGAGCAAAATCGCCGAAAGACCAGTTGAATCCAAAGAAATCATCAATACTGAACGTCGAACCATATAGCAGCGGGACTCTTACAGTGGACAACACTCTAGCAATGGGCATGGAGCCTTCTCGCCCTACGCTGGCACAAGCTCGTGTCGCTGCGACTCTGCACACAGACTAGCCGTACCCATGGCTACTCATAGCCCCACCCCACCACCGTACGAGTTCCAGCAACAGCCTGGCGAAAATGCCTCTTATTATCAATATGCGTTTCCATATGATGGAGCGGATTCGAGTCATGCTTCTGAGAACAGAGATGGTGAGAAAGGCCTCGGGTCTACCGTCACAGGCGGTGCAGCTGGAGGATATGCAGCCCATCAGATGGGTGGTGGGAAGTTAGCCACTGCAGGGGGTGCCCTTCTAGGAGCTGTCAGCATGAATATGGCGACACACAAGATGTACGCTAAGCTCATAGCCCCAAATCCATCAAACCTGAAACTCGGAGCTAACAACTACAAGTAAACAAAACTATAGCCAACAACAGCAACAGCAACAGCAACCTGCACAAACTGTTGTAGTTGTGCCAGCTCAAGGGGCGGCACCAAGCAATGGTCTAGGTGGAAGTCTTGGTCTGGGTTCAGGCTTGGGTATGGGTGGTGGCGTTGGGCTTGGTCGGGTTCATCGCAGGCTTGCACGTCGCGGAATTGGCATGTACTAAATGGCTCTTTGCAGTATGAACTTACTTTAATGTTGTGAGGGCCTCCTATTAGTCTTCTTTGCTATAGTTCCATCAGAATGTGAGCACAATGTATTTACCTATACCTCAGAAGCGATTGGCATTGGGCCGTCGGAAACTTCATTATATTGCGTTTCAGGTTGTCTTTTTCCAAATTCACCGTTGGGGATGCTGTTTAGGATAATTTGAAGACCCTGCTACGAAGGGTTATAGCAGTCAACGTCCCACGCCATCGATATATGCTGCCGAAGCTTTTACAATAGCCCTGACGTTTATCATCATTATTATCATGCCTCACAAGTCGCCATCACTTATACCCCGGCCACGCTTTTTACGCAGTTACAGACATTATAGTATCATTCTGATGCCACCGCAGCGAGCTTCTGGTGCATGGTTCAGAAGTTCTAAATAGCTTCGTGCAAAGCTTGCCGTATGTGTGCATGCTTCCACCCGACGGTGAGACCCTAATGGTTGGTTGCCGTACGTATGCATTCGGTCGCTTCGTTGGTATTTTTGCTACATTGGCAAATAGTCTCAGTTCTTAGTTGTCCCAATCTGCCATATTAAATAGACTACGCCATAACCCGAGAATGGGTAAGAGAAGTCGACCCACAACCCGAACCCGCAAACCCGATGGGTAGACTCGACCAACCCGTAACCCGCCCCGAAACCCGCGTGGGTTCCCGCAAAAACCCGCTGCTATATAATCTTTCCTAATCGAGTTATACTAAGGTATATCAAAATGCTGATTTATACTAATAAAATATAGTAACGTATTTCACATGCGAGCCGCCCACACAAGCGAGCCGCCCACCTCAAAACACCATAGTAAATGCGATGTATTCAATACTTGTATCTCACCAACCGCGTTTCGGTTTTATTTTATTGCCTAGCGATAGCTATTGATAAGGGTTTTCAACACTATATATTAATTTTAAGAAAATCGAATAGCTGCATTATCATGGTATTGAAAATTACGTTAGCAAAAGCCAGAAAGATATATATCGCAATCATAAAGTTTCCCTGAGTCGCGGTATCCCCAGGCATCCACTCCCTCTTGAATGCCCAAGGCCAACAAGCAGTGCAAACCCTGCAAACCTTCGGGACGACATAGCATAACACCCCTTTCATTTCTCGGAGTCAACTAAGAGCACTCCGTGTATCATCTGCGCTTCTTGGGCCTCGAAAGCCCGGAAATTTAGAAGGAAGAACTTGCTGGATGGCTCGGATTGCTACGAGAATAACGTGAAACTATCACCATCGCCATGGCGCTGCAGTTCATTGACCAAAGCCTCAGCGGGATAGGCCGCTCTGACAGGCGCACCATCCGCTCCCACGTCATGCGCGGCAAGAATACGGGCAAGCAGCGCCGATCCACCAAGAAGCAGAAGAACGTCGCAGAGCTGAAGTCGCTCTTATATGCTCCAGGAATCGGATACGTAATCCCGCGACAGGTGCTCTGGAGCGACCTGTGTGTCACTTCGTTCCCTCAAGAGCTCGACTCCCAGTCCATAGGGCTTATGCACCGATGTATGCTCTCTTCATTATTCGGCTGGTCATCCACGTCCTCTTATATCTGACGTCAGAGCTACAGGGTTTTTTGATATTAGTGATACGCTATTTCCGCCGCAGTTCTGTACTAAGTTCGACATTATAAAGTCGATTTGGGTCAACTGCATTCTCGCAGATGAAGCATGTGAGTGACAGCACCGTCAGTCGGTTCATACAGCATCGTTGACCACTAGAAATACAGATTTCCACAGCACTTTGGCTATAAACGCGTCTTACATTGACTTCTTCCAGCGGAGACCGGCAATATCGCCTAAGACTCTTCACCATATCTCCAAGGCGTACGCTTTGGTCAACATTAAGCTGTCGGGTCCCTTCTCCGTTTCCGACAGCGCCATAGCTGCTGTGGTTAGTCTCGCCATCTACCAACAAGTACATCACCAGCCTGAAATCGGACTGGTACATCTCCACGGGCTCTATCGCATGATTCAGCTTCGGGGTGGGATCAGTAAGCTAATGCAAGAAAATCGTGCACTGGCAATGAAGCCGTTGAGGTACGTGAGAAGTTTTCTTCTGCGACTTGCCTTCATCTTGCGTCGTTTTGTCATTCTTTTCTTCTATGACAGTCCAAATAACTTTTCGTCTAACAACTATTAGGCTAGATATTGAATTGGCAATGCAAAATGGTACACCCACCTTGTTTCGCGGCGATGAAGTGCCCATTCACTCGGTCTTATGCGATCCCGACGTCAGCATTGGGCAGTCTCCCCGAGCTGCCTTTTGGATGCCACCCATGATGCTAGATCTGTTCAGTTTCTCAAAGCTGCTCAACGACGTAGAGAGAAGGTCGAAACCGAAACTTGACCCTCTAGACTATACAGAGACACTTTTGTCACTCCTTTATCGCCTTGTAGACGTCTCGCCACCAAGAGAAGCCCCTACCAAGCTCGGAGGTCCCTACAAGCATTTGACGTACCTTGCGATGATATCATTCATGACGACGATGCTGCCTGAGTACACCCGCGATGGAGCCAGCTTCTCCCTTCTTTCTGATAGTCTGGAAAGCGCCATGCAAGACCTCTGCCCCACAGCATCAGAGTCTTTGGACTATAACCCACCCTTGATCTTATGGACTCTTTTCATAAGCGGGATATCGGTGTTAAATCTGAAGGACCATTACTGGCTCTCGCCATTGATCGCCGACTATTGCACAAGGCTAGGGCTGGAGAATTGGGCTGCCATTCAGCGGCAGCTAAGTTGGTTCCCTTGGATATTCGGTTTGCACGAAGATCAAGGCCGTCGTCTATGGGAACATGTACGACGGTAAGCCAACCTAATGTCGACAAAAGTACCACGAGCCCCGATCAACCCGCAGATATTCATCTTGGCCGATGCGTAGCAACTCAATGAAGCAATGAATAGTCTGACCAGGTGGTATTAGGCGTCCAAATGCTTAAACTAAATGGACTGGCTGACCTCGATGGAAAAGCATTTCGGAAGCTGCGGCTGTCGATTAGGCTCCCGTCTAGGACCAAAATTGGGTTTCAGGCTTACTTGTGTTACGAGATGCAGCCGAGCTGCATGATTCCTGCTTCTCACCCGCATGACGTGACATAGACCTAATCCACAAGCAGACAGCGCCCCTAAGGCTAGCGATAAGAGCGGAGATAGCGTCGCTATGCTTTAGATTTCAAACAAAATTGCGCAAGATTCATTCCGCTCTTCCCCGACCCGGTGCTCGACGCAGATAAGGTAGCGCCTGGGCGATATGCAGTCGGGCTAAGCTATACAACAGTACCACGCGACTAGATTTATCTGGAGGCGATCATAGCAGTTGATCCATGTTAAATTAATAAAAAAGAGCAGTCTAAATAGGTGATATTTACCGCCTGAATTCTTTAACCAAACTAAACTGGCCGTTCCTAATGAAAAGCGTTTCGGAAGCGGAGGCTTTCAACTACACACCATTCTCGAAAGGAAATTGGCACCTAAACAATCTACTTCAGCTGTGAGATGCAGCCCGGCTGCACAGATTCTAGCTTGGCAACGATCTCACTCCAGATGCCCTTCTGCAGCTTCAGGCCCTCCTCCTTGGAGAGCCACGTGGGCACCCAGAACTCCTTGATCTTACAGCCGGAAAGCAGCTTGCCGTGGCCCTCTTCGCCCACCACCAGCCCGTGTAGGAAGGTACGACTGCCAACCTCTGCGGTTCGAGCCATGATGGCCCGGACCGCCTCGTGCATAATTTTGGTGAAGGTCCGTGTTTCGCGGCCCAGGCCGGTGGTACAAAGACCTGGAGCGACCATGGTGATGACGACGCCTGTGCGCTCGACAGGGCAGAGGGCTGCAAACTGGCGTACGGCGCACTCTTCGACGAGCTTACTGAGAGCATATCTTTGACCACATATTAATTCCCAAAGCCACAATATATACAGTGGAACTGTAAATCTCACCTCGAGTCCATGTTGGCCCGCTTCTGGTCGTTAAGCCCGTCAAGGATAACGCCGTTGCGGCTCTTATCCATTTCGCTCTTGACAGTGTACCCAAGAACACTGACGATAAAAACGAGAGTGGGCTTGATGTTGAACTTCCTGGCACTCTCTTTGAGTTTGGGCATCATGAGAGCGCCGAGGAACACAGTGTTAATGACATTGACGAATATGCTCGTCTCCATGCCCTCGGACTGCGACCACGCGTCGATCATGATCCCGGCGTTGCAGATGAAACCGTCAATCCTGTCAAATTCCTCTGCTAATTTCTTCACGAAGTTCTGGACGGACGCGTAGGTTGACATGTCTATATGCCGTACCTTTACAGATGTCAATATTTGGATGGCCTCAAGGCCTTGCAATAGACGTACCTTGACAACCCCCTTGCGGCCAGTCGCCTTCTCAATATCACTTTTGGCAGCCTCGCCCGCCTTGAGGTTTCGCACCGCCAGCACAATGCATTCGGCTGACGCCGCGACCAGGTGTCGCGCCGTCTCGAGACCCAGGCCGCCGTTGCCACCCGTGATGATATAGGTTTTGCCGATGCATGTATTCTCGTCTACCAGAATGGGCAGCGTCCGGTACTGCTCGGCGGTCAAGCGGAGCATCACCATCTTGCGAACTGGAGCTGAGGTGTGTCCTCGCTAAGGGTTTGCTGTATCAGCGTTGTTTGAGTGGCGTGGGTGGAGGTATGGGCACTGTATGCGAGCTTTGAGTGGAGCAGCTAGAATGGGTCGAAACTGGGGGATGACACGACGTAAGAAGCAGAAGAGAGAAACGGAGTTTTCTCAAGGGATGGCCGCCTATTTTCTTTATATAGTCGTTCCAAGGCATGTCACTGCAAACCGGGCCCTTCCTACGTACCCTGGCCAATCTCATATTGGCGTCTTCTTTTAGACTAGCGGATCCCCATGGCGCGAGCTTCACAGCTGATCACCCCCAAGAGGCCCCCCCAAGAGGCCCCATTGACTCGTGTCTAGCCAATCTGATATCGGCATCTTGTTTTGGACTAGCGCACGGCTGATGAACACCAGGAGATAATCTTGGATACCGTGTTCACCAATCAGAAGCTGTGATAGCTGACGCCAGGCCCACTGCTTTCCGTCTGGCCAATCAGATATTGGTTTCCCTTTTGGGAAGTCCCCGCCCAGGTACATGTAATTCGGCCCCCTGGGGGCTCTGCTTTCAGCATCGCCTAATGCAATGGCGATGGCCCATGAGCTTGAAATTGGAAGCATGCAAGATAGATGTTTTGCTACCTCAATTGTGTTCTTATGTTCGTCCGCAAGAATATTTTAAAAGCCTTATCTCTGTAGAGATATAGCAAAATTCTAATCATCGCATACATCGCCGGAGCATTATCAGTAGTTACTTCTAGGCACGCGCCCCCTCCTCTTCTCAGGTATCGGAGGGATTCTCTTGACAGATGTGCCTATCTTCAGCAAGTCATTCTGCGCATCCCAGTTATCGCAAGAAATATCCTCCCCGCATTTTAAGAGTCTGGCACCCAGCTGTTCGCGCCGTTCGCTGGTCCGCTACACGAGGGCTTCGCTTGCCAGTTCTAGTTAATCAATCTCCCCATCAACCATTATTCCTCTGCCCTGGATCTTATTTCACTTACTCAGATTCACCGATTGCTGCATGTCTTTTGCCCCCTGGTGACCTGGCTGCAGCGAATATGCCAGCAGTCCCTCGTTCCCGTAATCGAGCATCAAGCCTTCAGAGAGATGCATCATAGCTAACTCAGACAAATCATGCGTTCCGGACGTAAATTGGAGCAAGGGCGATCTGGCTGAAATGACATTGACAATCGTCTTTTCGGTTCCCTTCAGCAGGAGCGGCAGCAGAGCGCGAGCGACAACGCATGCATCTTTGACACTAGCCTCCCAATTTTTCCACACATCGACGTTACTTGCTCCTATAGTTCCTCTCTGCAGATTAAATAGAGAGATGTGTTCTGTCGTGTCGATGAGAATGGCGACATGTCCCAGTCTCGAGTGGATTTCGGCAAACTTAGTGTCGACACTAGCAGCCTCACCAAGGTTAAGATGAAAGGAACACAGCTCCGGTTCTGTTCTTCCAGCTTCTGTAGCAGCCTGGGAAGCTCTTTCATTAGTATCTGAAGTGCATGAGCTGTCCACTATGGCAATGCGCTTAGCTCCCGCTGCAGCAAAGGCGACGGCGGCGGCCTGGCTAAGGCCTTGAGCCGCGCCCGTAATAACGACTGTCTTGCCGGCGCATAGTGCTGTGATTGGGCTGGGACTCATCTCGCTGTTGCCTTTGCGGTTTCTTGTAAAGATCTAGATGAGACTGCGAAATGGAGTATTTGGGTCTCAAAGATCGACTACGACTTCTCTGTATGATAAGACACCTTTCGCTTAGGACAAGAACATCATTCAAATTATTCTAATTTTCCGAGACCTCCGGGCTTCATGGTGCTTATCCACGTCCTCATCTCAAGTCGCAGACCCGAGTTCGCACCTCCATGCCGGACCCGAGTCACCGTTACCACGCGACAACATTCCCGAGGACGGACAGTCTAGCCCGGTGAGGCAGACCTGTTCTTTCCGATTTATCGCCCCCACAAATCACCTCGTACCACCTGCAGGTCCTTGCAACACGAATGCAGGTGGGCTCCACTTTGCAGAAGCCTCGCAGGAACGGCAAGCCGCCACGAGGACCCAGGATCGTGATTCTATTTTCAGCTGAACAGCTGAAAGAACTGTTGGCTTAGCTCTTCGTCATTCATCCACCGACCATCCGCAAGAGGGATCAATGTCAGCGCTGGTGGCTTAGAAGCATTAACAGACCCAAGCGGCCGCGCACGGTGCAAGGAGCTCACTATAAAAACTGGCGATCATCCTATAACGTAGGCATCTTATTCATCCCTCAAAGCTTGATTTAGTTGACACACCTTTTTGAGTTACTCTCTGACCGCAATCATGGTCCGTTTTGCGATTCTGCGGGCCTTGTCGGCGCTGCTCGCTACCGTCCAAACTGTGTTGAGCACGCCTTTGTCGACTAAGTATCTGAGTCGAGCGGATACCTCTTCATATAACGACGCAGTATGGCCTTCGACATTGAATGGTCAGATTTACGGCACATCATGGCCGGAGTTTGCAAATAAAACGGAGCGCTGGTCGTCATACAAGGCGCCGACGTTTGACGAAGTATTCCTCCCTGAGAACGAAAACGACCTCTCATTGGGTGTAAGTTCATTTCTCCCCTTGCTGTGGGTATAATGGGAACTAATGGGGCAGCATATAGCTCGAGTTCATGTCGAGCAAGAACATGTCGTGGCTGGCCAGATCGGGAGGACATGGATATTCTCCAACTCCGCAGTCAATTCAGGATGGCGCTTTAGTCAACCTAGAAAACTTCAATCATGTCAAAGTCCAGTCTGGTGGCACAGCGTCGTTGGCACGGGCGCGTATTTTAGCGACTTAATCAACGCCGTGGGTGCTGCTGGAAGAGAGCTGAGTATGTCGCTTCAACTAACACTATCTCATGCCTATGCTAATAAAAACGCAGCCGTGGGCTCATGTCCCTGCGTCGGATCAACGGGTGCCATGCTTGGCGGAGGTTTGGGTCGTCTCCAAGGCTTGCACGGACTGACCAGCGACGCTCTCCGTAAAGTCCGCTTGGCGCTGTGGAATGGAACTATCATTGAAGCATCCGAACGCCAGAATCAAGATTTGTTTTGGGGCATCCGAGGCTCTGGCCAAAACTATGGCATCGTTTTTGAGTCAACATACGAGACTTGGCCAGCGACCCACGGAGGCGTCCACTATAGTGCAGACATGACCTTTGCCAAAAGCTCGATCGAGAAAGTCATGAAGGTTGTCAACAAGCTAACAAGTCCGGCGCTGGATGATAAGCTGGCTCTTATTACCTTTTTTCCGTTAAATGTCACAACGTCTGAGGTAAGTAAAACCACTGACCTTTTACACTCACAGTACCTTGCTGATCATTGTAGCTCACCATGATTGTCAACGTCGTGCATTCTGGACCTAAGGAAGTGGGACAGAATTATACCAAGCTCTTTTTGCCTTATAGCTTGAGCCTTGAAGAGCACATGCTGAAGTGGGAAGAGCTGCCTACCAAAACTGTTTTCGGCCTCATTCCTTACTCCTGCGCATCTGGCCCGCCATACGATCTATACAGTGTAAACGCGAGGACCCTCAACCCGCCGCCATGGGTCGATTTTGGCGACCAGTTCGAAAAATTCATGCAGCAGCACCCTGCGGCCAACGGATCCTCCATGATGATCGAGACTTTCCCAGTCCAGGGCATCGAGGCGCTCAGGGACGATTATTCCGCCTTTCCTCACCGCAGGTACTTTCACAATATTATCGAAGTCATTGGAGTATACACGGATTATAGCATAGCAAAGCCAGTCGATGACTTTCTCCGCTCTTGGCGAGACAAATTCGCCGCTACCTCTGGATATGAAAAGCTTCATCTCTATCAGAACTACGCTCACGACGATGAACCGCTGTCGGCGCTTTACGGATACCAGCCGTGGCGTCATGAGCGGCTTACAAAGCTAAAGGGTGCTTATGACCCCTATTGGCTTCTTTGATGGCTACCACGCCGTGCCATCTGATGTCAAGAAATGGACTTAGACCAGCAGAGACATGAAAGCAATCGATCAGAATAAAGATCTTTTCAGATCCCGTGAGATCCCCTGAGAATTAGATGAGAGAATTGGCTTGTTACTGTGATAAGACAAGATATGGTATAAATTCTTTGGTTGAGGGTTACTTCTACTCTATCGATAGCTTCCCGTATGTGTTCATTGACAGCTCTTTGATTCCCGGAATTAATTAATATGGTACCCCGCCCTGTCTCGTCTTCTTACTCTCCTTTACAAACATTGTTAGCCGTCCCAACGCTTGATCACGATAACTTCTCAAAGACACCTAGCTCCTGCACAGGGATCCGTTGAAGATCAGCTACCACAATTGCAGAAAGAGCGTATAGGAAGGAAGAAGCCAAGGAAGGAAGAAGCCAAGGCGGAATCAGGGTCAAATACCACTTGCAGCCATGTGTGTCCCGCGATAGCACCCATAGCCCTTTACTAGGGCTAATGAAAAGTAGTCCTACCTCGTAGTGAATCGACTAGAGGAAGTGATCCTAGGAGCACTAGTATAATATAGACCATTTAGCGAACTTCTTCGGCTAAGGCCGATGACTTAGTTCTCCACTTTGCGTAGCACGGCGTGTGAATGCAATTGGGGCCTATGGCAAGACACGCGAGAATCATTGCCTGATTGTGGCAGCGTACGATGGTTCTGTGAACGAGCCAGCTCCCGGATATAGAGAATCAGGAGAATGAGGGATTTCATGTGACTAACTCACCCTGTGCTCTGGGAGCCGGCCACTTCCCGAGGCGGCAGTTTTACCGTCACCTAGATTACATACGTAGATAGTAGACATCTGGTGCACACTATCAAAGTACTCTATACCAAGACTGCCAGTTGATGGATACCTACGTGCATGCAATGTAAGCAACTGTTATGTGCCAGATAAAACCATGTTTAAACCAAAAGGATCACTAATAGACACTATGTCGAGTCCGATGGTTGCCCATGTAATATTCATGCCAGCCCTAGATATTACCAATTCATTGTCCCTTTCTTAGTACGGGGGCTGCGTCTTCTCATCTGTACCCATAGGCTGCACAGCATTTTCCGAAATAGTCTAGTTTATCTACTACAATAACCTCAGGTGCCACTATCAAGATCATCTAGAACTATAAACGGGCGAAGCTTTCAGCAATTCTCATTTAAACTTATTGAATCTCTCAAGCTATGCCCACAAAAGATGAGCTATTAAGTCATCCATCCTTTCCCAGTCCCATCGATATAGTTGCACGTGATATCAGCGTTGTCAGGGTAACCGGCAGCCCAAAGCGGTAAGCACAATGTTGATCTGTGGACGTTCTGGACTGGGCAAGTCTGCCTGCTTAGCGTATTACCCAACTTCAAAGGTTCTACTTCCGCTTCACGTTATCTAGATACTCACGGGCCACACAAAATGCCGCCCAAACAGCCCCAGACATCGCTGTTCCAAGTTTATCTTCGGCTCCGGCCCCCGATGGCCCAAAAGCCCAATGAATCTGACCGTTTTTTGAACGTTGAGCTGCCAGAGGCTTCGCAGGAGGAAACAGAGATTGTTTCACCGGTATCAACACATATTACTCTTCAGCCACCAAATGACACGAGAAAACGCGCCGTCGAGAGGTTTGGTTTCACGAAGGTCTTCGAGGAGACCGCTTCGCAACTGGATGTCTTCCATGACACTGGAATGGAGCCCATCATACGCGGAGTGCTGAAGGAGAACCGAGATGGGCTAGTCGCTACCCTGGGAGTCACAGGCAGTGGAAAGGTCTGCTCCCGAATATTGCAGCATCGTGATAACAAAGCTAACGGGCTGATTATACAGAGCCACACCATTCTAGGATCCAAGACCGAACGAGGAATGACCCAAATGGCGCTTGACGTTATTTTTCGCTCCCTAGAGCCGACAACCAAGACCGACTATGATAGCATTACCCCTGTAATGCTTGCCTCGCTGGCTGCTGCGGACGCTTCTGAAGCCCAATTGTTCTCCGCCCAGACGTTTTTGGAAGCTGTATATGGCGAGCCAAATGGACGTACGTCGAGAGCACAAACACCCATGAGCCCATCTCGTGCCAATACTCCTTTGATGGTACGAAGCCCCTTTACCTTGAACTCCCCGCAAGGAACCCCGACCCCGCGATCGCGCGCCCCCGGATCTTCTCTCCCAAGGCCGAGATCTGAACCTGGAAGCCCCCGTAAGACGAATTTGTCTTCCATCACCAGTCCCAATAACACTGCTCGAGCTGGCGTTCACCAGGTCTCGACTGAGCCCTCTGGATGGATCACCCCAGGATTTTCGAATCCTATCCCCTACACCCACTCCAATCTATTTGAGCCAAAATCAGCTAAATCTCGACTTTATGTCTTTAAGGAACCGACCCCTGCCCTGAACTTCCCCCGTCGTCACATACGGGAACGACCATGCGCCCTTCCTAGGTTACCCGATATGAGCCACCTTACTGTGGATATGGATTCAAACGCCGACTACGTCGTTTTAGTGTCAATGTATGAGGTATACAATGACCGAATTTTTGATCTTCTGTCTCCCTCTATTGTCTCAGGTCAGGGCACCATGTCCCGCGGAAATAACCAAAAGGATCGCCGACGTCCTTTGCTCTTCAAGCCTACCGAAGGCTCACCAGACCGGAAACTAGTTGCAGGGCTACGCAAAATCGCTTGCAGCAGCTATGAGGAAGCGCTAGCTATCTTGGACGTCGGTTTGACCGAACGCAAGGTAACTGGCACTGGGATGAATAGCGTTAGTTCTCGAAGTCATGGCTTCTTTTCCCTGGAAATCAAGAAGCGGACATGGTCAAAGCGAACCGGTGAACACAACTGGGCTGGGAACACCCTCACCGTTGTGGATCTTGCCGGTAAGTAATTGTATCCTTACAGTAGGGCCGCCACTAATTAAGCTAGGTTCTGAGCGTGCGAGAACGGCAAAGACAGCTGGTGCCACACTCGCTGAGGCCGGTAAAATCAACGAAAGCTTGATGTACCTCGGCCAGTGCCTGCAGATGCAAAGCAACATACAGGATGGATTGAAGGTGCGTTTTGGGCTCATCGTCAGTGTGTTTCTTTGGCAGCTGCTAATCTACAAAGACTGCTCTTGTTCCTTACCGGCAGTGCAAATTGACCGAGCTTCTGTTTTCAAATTCATTCCCATCGTCTCATCAGATGTCTAGAGGCCAATATCCCCAAAAGGGTATCATGATCGTTACCGCTGACCCTCTAGGTGATTTCAACGCCACCTCCCAAATTTTGCGTTACTCCGCATTGGCTCGTGAGGTTACTGTACCAAGAGTTCCCTCGGTCTGTGAATCTATCTTGTCTGTCGCGTCTGGAAGTCACCGCTCAGTCAGTGGCTGCACTTCGCCAAATTTCGATCCATCGGAAGAGCTCGAGAGAGCTGCTGCTGAGATCAAACGCCTCACACGCGATTGCCACGGCCTTGCTGTCAAGCTAGCCGAAGAAGAGATTGCACGATCTGACGCTGAAATGAGACTGAGAGCTGCAGAAGAAAGATGTCTCATGATTGAGCAAGACGTGAGAGAAGAGTGCTGGGCAGAGATGGATGAGAAAACAGAAGAAGAAAGGCGACGCTGGCAGAAGGCTTGGGATGAGCAGGTTCGTAGCGCTGGACCAGCTCAAATTTCACAAAATGCTAATAGCTCCCAGATCGGTCGCAATGACGAACACATCGACAAGAAGGTTGAGCTTGTATCCCGTGGATTCCAAAGTAAGTTGGCCCATGAGGGGCGAAATGTACGAACTCTTGAACTAACCTCTATCTACAGTATTTGAAGATTCGGGGTCGAACGAGCGAGTGGAAGAGCTCGAGCAAGAAAATGACCAGCTTCGCCGCAAACTCGCCGCCCTTGAGCGTGAGATGCACAACCAATCCCCGACAAGAAAGCATAGACCCAAGAATGCCACACCGGCGCGGTCTAATCTTCTCGGCCGCGAGAGCGATATTGAGAACGCCCTGCAACGCATGGATCAGTTGAAGCTCGCAGATACCATGTTTGCTCCCCCATCACCAGGAGCCTCGCCTATCAAGAAGACAAGGAAAATGGGAACCCGGAAATGGGACCTCGCCCCAGAGGACCAGATCTAAGCGGTCTTCTTTTCTCTCCTCTGTCACGACTGTTACGATTTATTCTTCTTACACTGCTTGAGATACTAGAGCTTTTAATTGCTGGGTTCACTTTTTTAGTTAATACGCAATGATATCCCTTGGCTAAGGCGTTTGGGGGTGATCGATCCTTTTTGTTCAATAATTGTCGATATTTCATTACCCAATTGACAATTCCAGATTTGGATTTTGCGAATATTGTATTGTACATGCTAGCGCGTAAGCCATTCAAGCCGTAAGCCATTCAAGCCACCTGTCTCTCAACGCCATCCTGTAGTTTAAAGATCCTGTCTTGGGAAAAACGCCCCATGTGCTCCATAACCGAAAAGAGAAAAGAAAGCAAAACCCCCCTTGGATGTATAGCAGATTGCTCAGGACTCAGAGGGCGTAATGTCCATGGCATCTTGTTCCCGGGTATCTCGCTTGCCAGCGATGTGTTCAGTCTCAGTATCATTGGCAGACTGGTCGGCAGTGAGAATCCGCTTCTCGTCTTTATCTTCTCCCTCCAACTTCGTTTCCTCATCCTGCATCTGCTCATCATCATCTGCCTCACCCTCAGCCACATCAGGATCACCGTCACCATCCCCATCCCCATCCCCATCCCCCTCCCCTTCGCCTTCATTTTCATGAACCCCTTCATCGTCCTCGGCGTCATCTTCATCCGCAGCTTCATCACCAGTGTTCCCTTCCTCCGCATGTATGACATGAGGGGAAAGCGCCGAGGTCCCCTCATCACCTAGCTTCGCATCATCGTTCTCACTCAACTCAGTCTCGTCAGCACCGTCATGCTCATCTATCTGCTCAGCCGAGCCATCGCCAGCA